CGTCCTTGCTCCTAGTAGTAAGGCCAGGAGCCCTGTTCGTAGCGTCCGATCGCTCCGTTCGTAGTAAGGCCAGGAGCCCCTAGTCCTAGTAGCGTCCGAACGCTCCGTTCGAGTCGCGATGCCCGAAATGCTCCGTTCGTAGCGTCCTGTCTTTGTCGATGATCGTTGGTGACCATCGGACAATATCGAACATCGTTGGAACATGTTGGGGGGGCACCTTGGAACTTTGGACTCGTTCATGTTCAAGTGGGGCAGTCCTTCCCACTGGAAAAATGCTGATCTATTTTGCATAGTCATTTTAAATTCTATAGAGCGGATTCTCTAGAGAACGGGTTGAGCAACCCCTCTGTGGTAGTATCAAGGGGGATTACCTGCCTCTTTTAGGTTGCTGAGTGACACCTGGAAGCTGAAAAGGGTCTTTGATCAAAGCAAGGCTGAAAAAAAAAACAGCTTTGTGGAGATTCTTCTCCTTCTTTTCCGAACGAGATCAGAACCTCGCGCAGCTTGGAGATTCGTTCTTGATTCATTTGATTCACAATGATGTTTGGTCACTTTTCATGGGGGCCCGGAAGCCTCCCCGTCCATGTTCATCCTGAACCTTGGACTCCTGTTTCCAGGGGAAGGGTCGGGCAACACATACGCAAACACATCCAGGTGGGAATGAGATCTAGCTTTCAGCTATGCCTGGAAACCCAAACAACCAGAAACAACATGAAACAACTGGTTATTCCAATTCCAATCTCACCAAGGAGATCCCTCACATATGAAGTGGTTGGCACTGTGCAAAGCATCCATGTGTTTCTGCTTCTTCGGACTGGCTTTGCAGATGATTCAGACTGGGCCTTGGGGTCATGGAATCCATTGTGTCCAGACTCTCCCGTTCACTTCATGTCATGTGTTCCTAAGGACCCCCCACCGTCTCCGGCACGGTGCATCCCGGTCCTTCCCGGCGTCCGGCCGGCCGCCGGGGGGCGCGAACCTGAGGTTCGGCGTGTTAAGCCCCATGGGGCACTTTCGAAATGTCTGGGACTTCTTTGGCATTCTGCTCCTGGCCCTGGTACCCCGGCACAAGTCCGCGAGCTCGAGCTGGAAGGGCCTGTTTGTCTCGGGTTGTGTGTGAAACAGCCATGGTTGGTTTTCAGGGTTGGAGTGCCACCCGGATGGAATCGGTGAGGCCGGCCTCTCGTTGGAGGGGTCTACGGTCCCAGAGATTTCGATCGGCCGACGATGATACCGATAGGCTATCCTGGAATGGTTTTGCATGGTGATTTGCACTGGACTTCGGGTGGCTATCACGTTTCAAAGACCAGTCTCCATGTTTCAAAGGATGGGATTCTCACGTCTCACTCGGTCTCAAATTAGGTCAAGATGCTGCACATGGCTGAGAGTCCAAACACCTAACAAGGGGTTGCTTTGCAATGTTGCCGTCCATTCTGTTCAGTTGGACATCAATCAGTGGTCTCGCTCTCGCTGGCTCTTTTTCGGATCGCGCGAATGACCCAGTCCATCTTCAGGACATGATTTTCCTGCCGCTCCAGTTTGTGAGCAACAGCCTCTACCAGGAGTTCCCCATCTTGGATGCCAAGTCCAAAACAGCTGTGACCCGGCATGGACCGAAGTGACCAAAGTGACCAGGTTGTTGTGTTCTTTTTCCAGGTGAGACGATGGTTTGAAGAACCAAGATGAGAGAATCCATGATGAAGGCATGTTCAAGCATATGTTGAACTCCTAATATTCCTCATGTTCAAGCATGTGTTTATTTGTGAAGACACCATGAATTGAAGAATAACTGGAGGCATCATGCCTGTGATCCAAGGCATCATGTGGTCGAACTTCTGGACAAACATGAGACCTTCAGCTTTTGGTGCAGACACGTATGACCAATCAACAGGGTTGGTTTTAGAAGCTGTATTCTGTGTGTATTTGGAGAGGGTCTGCTTTAAACAAATAACATGTTTCATCACAACTGTTCTTTCAACCGATAGGCTCTATCAAACAGATGTTGGACAGGGCAATCAGGGAAAGACACTACTGAGTGACAAATATTTGGTGGGCAGAAATCTTTGCCGCCTATACTAACGCTTTTGGTACCTCAGATTCAGATGAATGTCTTTAGAGCGTAAGACATTTCTGATCATTTCTGCAAGCCTAAGCCTTTAGTCGTTTAATCAATCCATAAATCCAATCCATTATGATCGAATAGGAAGGACTTTCAAACTTTCAATCTTGCAATATGACCCGGAGCTCATGCTGTGGCTGAATCAATTATTGATGCAGTAGAGTCGTAGAGACATCAATGCAGTTGATCTTTCTGCCGCGAGGGCGCGACCTCAAGCGTTGTCACCGATCCGTCAAGGGGGCGAACGTTGTGAACCGTTACAGTGACAGTTGATGTTCTTTTGCGGGTCAAGACATGTGTTGGACAACGACGAACTTCGACTGCTTTCGGCAGCAATGTTTTTTTTGTTGCACATGTGACTAATAGAGCCAGATCAAACCCTTGTTGAAGACCTTGAATCAGATGAGACTACTGAGCTTAATCATGTTCCGAGCTGTCCGTGTGTCAACCGGATTTGAAGGGCTTTACACTCCCTGGAAGAATATCTATGTTTCTTTTGGATGACCCAATCCATTTAGTGTTAATGTTGATCGACAGGTCTTCTACTGGTCCTTTGACATCGTGCTGTCCTTCTTCACTGGATACATCGAGAAAGGACTTCTGGTGGAGAGCCACCGTCAAATCGCGCTGCGATACATCAAGTCCTGGTTTTTCCCAGACCTCATCGTCACCATCATTGACCTGGATCCTCGGAGAAGAGATAGAACCAACACCAGCAGTCACAAAGGGGTGCTTCATGGAGGTTAGGGGTGTCCATTATCCACTCACTTAGGGACTAAACACCACCCCTTTTGTGACTGGTGCAATTCAAGAGGAGCTCCCTGACCTTCACGGTCGTGACAGGATTTTGCATCATTATGTAGAGGCGGGAACTGGATCAGGATCTACATGTCATCACCAACTGAGTGGGCATTGGAGCTTTGTGGTGATTCAATATGTTTCGAGAAACAGGTTCTTAGTTGGATGTGCCAAATGCCAAATTTAGACAACTTTTGCACCACATAGGAACCTGACAAATTATCAAAAATTGCCCTATTCTCTTGGCATTTGCAAATCTTATCAAATCATGCAGTAGATCTAGATCCACTTGTCACTAGAGTTTCTGCGCGGCGACTAAATTGTCCATATTTGCCCATCATCGTGTTTTTTTTGTTTGCTGTGCTCCCAGGTCTTGCAATTTGTTGGAGAGGAGAGCCGCGCCGAGAGCGCGGGCACGCGCGTCACATGGTCGCAGGAAACATCGACTTCTTGGTGGCTTCTGTATAGCTTCATTGCTACTAGTAGTAAGGCCAGGAGCTACGTTCGTAGCATCCTTGCTCCGTTCGTAGCGATGCCAGGAGCTACTAATAGCTTCTTTCCCTAGTGTCGGCGACCTTCTTGGGGGACTTTGGGGGATTGGTTCCGTTGGAGGGGCGGTCTTTTTGGGCCAGGGAAACCTGAGGGGGAAAGCGGTGAAAGCGGTTCCGTTGGAGACATCGGGTTACGTCGGAACTGCCGCTCACCCCCAGTGCGCTTCAGCCTGGCACACGTCTCCTAGGCATCCCTATTCGCCTGGCTGTTGATAGGTCCCAAGGTCTTGCCCTTGACTGATGCCCTGACAATAGACCCCTTGGATTCTTGGATGTGTACTAAGGCATTTATGGAGTTTCAATCAGTTTCAAGCTCTTGCTGAATGAACACATGAACCCTTCCCACGACCGATTCTGCATGCCTCAGGACTGATTCTCAATGCCTTTCACAGCACTATTCCGGTGAAGATATGTATACAGATGCATACAGAAAGAACTCCCCCAAAACAATCCAAACAACAGCAGCAGCAGCAACAACAACAATGTATATATTATATATCTATATGTACTGGTCTTCTAAACTGTTAGGTCAATTACAAGCCCCAAGCGAGGTCATTTGTGGACGAGCTTTGGGGGTGAAACAACGGTCAAATTCAAGGTCTTGCGACTTCTGCGGCTATGCCGCGTGGTACGCCTGGGCAAGCTCACACGTGCTGCGGCCTTCCTGAGAGACAAGCACCGTGGAGAACAAAGGGTGAAGAGGGATACCTTACTTGGGGTCAAACCCCCAGAAAGAAGGAGTTGTTCAACGTTGTTCAGTATTGTTTTCTTTAAGGGGGCATCGAACAATGACCTTCATGGTCAGTGGTCAGCATCTACCAACTGAAGTCTAGAGTGGCTGTAGCTCGGAGTACAATAATTGGGCTTAACACTTCTAGTGGCCAAAGTTTCGCGATGGTTTTTAGTGATGGGTTGGAATGTCATTTATTGGGCAGCTCATTGATGAACCAAACCAGAAGGATTGCAGATTGAATCCCTGTGACTGCATAGAACTCTAAGTGTAGACCAGTAACCAACCTCCTTGGGACATTGAACGGGAAAATGCGTGCACATGCCCTAATTATAGAAGACTGTTTGCAAGGGAGTCCTTGCAGAAAAAAGGCACCATCATCTGTGGTTCCTGGAACCTTGGGCAGTCTCTGGGTGGAAGGGCTCAATATACAAAGGGAAAGCAGTGCAATCCCCACGAGCGTCCGTTTGGATCTGTTGATCTGTTTGTTCAAAGTATTTTTTGTATTTGGCTTTTGTTGGCAGCATTGAATCTTGGCATTCCAATGAGGTTTGAATCAGAAGTGGCTTACACACAGTTTACACTGGGCATTGCGATGCTGGGAATGACACTTGGCACACTGTTCAGAGATGAGCCGCCCCTCCATCTGACGGGGCGGGGTGACGGGGCTGTCGGTCATAGATCCCCCTGACGAGTCTGAGATCAGATGGGTGGAGCTGTTGGGAGCTGTGCGCGTGAAACATTCCCCACCCTGGTAGTGAATAGTTGATTCCAAGCATTTTCTAAGGAACTCCAGTTGCCTTCACCAAATGGAACCACCCCCAGTTTCACAGACAAGCTGGTTCCTAGGAAGCATAGATCACTGGACCAGATTCCCCCAAAGTAAATGCACAGCTGCACACCATGCAAATCACAAAACACATGTGTTTGTTCTTACTGTATCAGTCGGTGTGGGATGTTTTCCTTCAGCTTCAGAGCGGCCAGTTTTTGCTTCCTCCAAACGGCCGGTGTTTGTTTTCGTCGCCTGGGACGTTTCAGGCTCCTATTGGAGCATGTGATCGCGTGTGGATGGTTCGGGCACCTTGATGGAAGATGGACGTCGACAGACCTCGGCTGGGCAGAACATAGGGCAGGTTCTCGGCCCCCCAGAGATTACCGGAGAAAAGATCTTGAATCGGATGGCTTACTTGTTACTAGTAGCTTCTTGTTACTAGTAATTAGTAATGCCAGGAGCTACGTTCGTAGCGTCATGTAGCGTCCTTGCTACTAGTAGCGATGCCCTTTGGAGGCTGTCGTGAGTTTGACTCCTGTGGTCAAAGTATCCCAATCCTGGCAGGAAACCATCCAACAAGTTGTGATAGCAGCATAGTCAGCACAGGTTCATCGAAGTAAGTCTGTTTGTTGAACAACGAATCACGAGTAACGAACAATTATACAGTCACTTGACTCACCTGGTTGGTTGGCTGGGCTCGCGCCTGCCACAGTATAGAAGTATACAACAGCAGTGTCAACTTGGATTCTCTTATCGCCCGCCCGTCCCAGGCTGGGAAAAATGGAGATGGAAGAGACGTGGATCTCCCGGTTGCCCTACCAAGGTGCGGGATGTTCTCGCGCGTGGGAGCATCACGTGGGGCTGGGCCTGGTGGCGGGTGTTCCTTGCACCGTGGTGGTGGAACTCTTGTGTTTCTGAACTGTCGACTTAGAACCACCTGAAACCAGGTCGTCATGAGGATTTTCCTGGCAAAGGATATTTAATTTGGGATGCCAAGGTTTGGTGAGGAATCCAAGCCTTGTTCAAGACAATCACAATTGTTGTTGAGTCGTTCAGGGCCTATTGAGTCAATATAGAGTCTCGTGAAAAGAATCACGCTGGCTTTAGGAGGAATTGTGGAGACCCAAAGATTTGGGGGTTGTACTAGACAGTAGTAGAATAGGTCTTGCCATATCCAATCAGAGGGTTTGAGTCGCTGTTGCTCTTAAAGGTCCTTGGCTTCTCCCCAAACGAACTGAGCAGTCCAAGGCTAGGGTGGTCACCAAACAGTGACCCCAGGCATGGTGCACGCAGTGCACGCAGAGCACGCATCTACCAATACAGTTTGACCATGTAGTTTTTGCTTTTTCAGGACTGTAGCGCCCTCAGAGTAGGGACACATGGATTTCGATGATGAAACATGTGTCCGCAACAAGGAATCAGGAAATCTGAACATGTGCAGACGCTTTTACGCTGATCGGCGACAGACGCTGATGTCTGTCCGGGTAGCGCTGATCAGGTGGTTGATTTATTTTCCCGAACTGGGTACATCCGCATTTGGTGAAGATGTTTCAAATTTTGTCCCGCGGTTCCTTAGGTAAATCCAAGTGGTCATTGTGTGTTGTTGGTGCTGTGGGTAGGTTGTTAGCAGTTTTAACATGCACAATCTAGCTACCGTTCGGGAGGAAGCTGCTGACTTCATCTGCCCCACCAGGAGGGAGGTATGAACCTAGGAGATGAAAGATGATGAAAGAAACGCCTGCACAGCACATGAAAGAAATGGTGGTACCTTGCCTTTGGCAGGCAGTGTGTTTCTTTGCCCAGCCTCTAACAGCGCAGGGTCTTTCGCTCTTTACTACACCATGAGCCTGCGATGGGCACTCTCTCAATTGGGCATTGGTGGAACGCAAATCGATGCCCGACGGGTTCAGGGCCGCGCGGAACTTGTGTTCGACTGAAACCATTTCTGACCCGCCCCAACTCGACACGCTGCAGTGGCACTCAGTTACTAAGTGGCAGTTGCGAAGGTCAAGTTACTGTACCAACCAATTGCCACCGCATGTGGTCGCTGAATTTGGCAGACTTCCCTTTTTGTCAGTACGAGCAAGGGGGGTCAAGCGGCAGAACAGTATCCGAATGCAACAAGAAAACCGATGTTTCAAATTAAAATTAAGGACTTTTTTGTCCTTTTCACCTCCAGTCGTTTTCACCTCCAGTCGGGATCTTGGAAAGGACCCACCACGACCCAAGGAAGCGGTCAATGAGCAAGAGGGCATCTATACGGTGATGGTGGCGGTGGTCTCCTTGCTGACCTTCTCCACAGTAATTAGCGCCCTGGATGGATTCGGACCACTCGGATCTTCACAAACTTCACGAATCGAGATCTGGGCTGCGGGGAATGGAACGCGGGGAGATCTGTGTCCTGATGGTTTGTGTTCTTTTGCGGGTTCGGAATCTGGACACTGGTTCGGTATCAGGTGTATATAACTCCGCCGATGTCCACAGAAGACGGTTCAATAGATTATAGTATATTGTAATGGCTCCTCTATCTATCATAGTACATATTTAGTATATTATAAATATATATATATAATCAATAATTTTATTGGTCAAATATTCATGACTCATGCAGGGCCTTTTTGTGGCGGCAAAGCAAGGGTTTCAGTATTTGTGGGTACACCACAAAATGCTGGTGTTTGAGGAATCGGAATGAATAGGAAAAGGATGTTTTGGGGTGCTGTTATATAGCAGTTGAACAGCAAATAACAGTAGCAATTGACCAATTGAATGGTCATCTCTAACTTGAATGGTCTTTTTAATTGACCACTCTCGAGTAAGGTGACCTACACTTGGACACACAAACACATGGGAGTGAACAAGTCCACGTCTTCCTTTGAGGGCCAATCCCATGCAACTTCCCATCGCACTTCCCAGCATGACACCGGACAAGTCAAACAGAGTCCGTACGAGCGTGTCGCTGGTGCCAGGTTTTATGACCTCCTTGATTAGTACCTTGCAGCACAAGAGAATGGAAGAGACGCTTGGAGTGTTTTTTTTTTGCTTGTTCGATGCTTGCGCAGAGTCGCAGGAAACAGAAGACTTAGAAGTTAGAAGTGATACCCAGAAACACAATGTGACTGCATGCCACGCGTCAGGGAATGGCGGAATCAAAAGTTTGTCTAAAGCACACCCGGAAAGCATGCTGCATTGGTGGCAACATCCAAACTTGAACGAGCATTGCTGCCTTTGTTTTCAGGACGCATCAATTTGGCCTACTCCGCCGTTTTCTGCGGGTAAACCGAATTCCGGATGAGCTCCGTCAACGAATCACGAGGTTTTTGCAGCATGCGTATTCAGAGTCACTTGGCTTTGCACAGTCCACCATTTGAGACTTGTTCAACAGCACTGATTTCCCCTGCAGCGTTTGTCTCATTGAAAGCATCTCTAAGCAACCCCAGTTTCTAAGAACAAGTGGAAGTTTTTGTGGTACTGTAGGTGGTCGAAGTCTTGTGAAAAAATAAATATCAGATTGCATGTGTTTTTTAAGACCTCCCTCCACCGGCTTCTCATGCCGTCACGGTGACTTTTGATAGGACCCGTGCATCACCTTCGGTCAGCGCCACTTCAGTGGGGCCCCGGTCGCCTCGATTCCGCCTCGATTCCGTCGCCCAGGAGGGGCTCCAACTCGGACGATCCGTCACTTGGTGGTGGTTTCAGATACTTTTATTATCTATTTTGTTCTAGATGAAACCTATCCCACCGGTTCCTATTTGTCTAAGTGATTTGAAAGCACCAACTAGGTACATCTTGGAGCTGCTCTCTGAAAACCTCCACGCGGAGCCCCGGAAACGACAGGGCTGGCCTTGGTATTTGGGGTGAAGGAATGTGGACAGCAGTGCTGGGTGTGGTTTGGGCCGGTGAGCCGGGTGTAGATTCTTGAAATCTGCAATGAATGGCATGATAGTGTTGCTAAGTTATATAGCTTTGCAAGAGGCGCAAGAACATTGTGCGATCTCTCAGACCCGTTTTGGAGTAATTGACACGATTGTTTGCAAACGCAGAATACATGGACAACCTAGAGAATCTTCAGATGATCCGGGATCCGGGTTCAAGACCACCGTTTTGGAGTAATTTTGTGAGGAGTCCAGATGCTCAAAGTGCAATGCCAGCTAAAAACACCGAAGATGTAGTAGGTGCTGTATGGTGCTGTTTGTTTTCAGGAAGGCTCATCCTTGCTGTGCCTGGCTCTTCACCCCATGTTTCGCTTTCAACTGCTGACTGCTGTGGACTTGGTAGGGGCTTTGGACTCTTGTAATTTACTAAAGCAATCTAAAGCACAAACCTGCTCACAGTGCCCTTCGTGTGATAGAAGCGGAGTTGTAACCCTTGCTACTATGTATAAGATTGTATAAGCCCACTTCGGGATGCTGTAAAAACGCTACCTTAAGGGCTATTCACAGCAGTAAACATGCTTTGTTACTCTTTTGCAAGCTCCTGCCTGTGAGGAGCTTCAACTTGCCAGATACCAGGAGTGTCTAAACATTCTGCCATTCTTTGCCCAGATCTTTCGGAGTAATTTGCTCTCGATTGCAGAAGAACAGGCCGGTGAAACCGCACATGCGATGCATAGCTGCAAAGGCGATTTCCTTTCGTGATGTGGAGCAAGGATGCGATAATCCTGGCTTTGCTTAAGGTGATTTTTTTTACTTATGGTAAACCCCCTTCTGGGATTTGTTTACCCTGGTTCCTGGACAGCACATCCAAGTAATGTACCAAGAATAGGCTTCATTGGTGGAGTGATTGAATCTTTGCAGGACCTCACCAGAAACATCACCATTCGTTGCGGGGATGTCTCCACAAAGGATGTGGGGTGTCTTTAATTGGGTGCAACCCTTGGTCACATCGCCTTGGGTTTCTTCATCACATGGCAACCGTGGGATGCCTTGGTAATCTGCAGGTGTTTGCTTTCAGGCTTGGAAATCCCGGAAATGTTCCAGACACGAGACCATCCATCAAACTGAGTGACGACCACATGCATTGCCACTCTTGCATTGGGTTCGTTTGGATGGCAAACTAGGTCACTCTGCCGGTCCTGGTCTGGTCTGTGTTCGAGACTCTCGCACAGACCCGACCTGGACCTGGGACGTCCCGCATCGTTTTTCCCGGCGGTGTTCAATAGATCGGCAGTTAGCCAGTTAGCTGGATCAGGAACTGACCTCATGAAATACTGGAGTTGATCGGTTGATTGACCTCATTGAAATACTCATGAAATAGTATGAAATACAGCATGTTTGTTTTGACCTCATTGAACTACAAACAAACTCAATGACTCAAAACTGCATCGGCGTTAGCTTCGCAGGTGCTTCATGGCTTGGCACGGAAGGCCGGTTGCTTTTTTGGACGGGGAAAAGGAACAACAAGTCCTTTAATAAAGACAACGGCATGGTGACACAGACTGAAATGGAATTGGTGAGACTGGAAGGAGTCACAGCCTTCTTGGGAGGAATGATGAGAGATATATATATATACAATATCATAGCTATGAATATCTATGAGCACGACCCCCTTTTTATAGGAGTCTCTTTAGATAACTATTCCCACTTCCATGCACCGTTCGGCTCCATGGTTCTGTGAATGCACCGATGGGCACCGGGCGGTCAGGCCATGTGGGTCCATGAGACAGCAGAGGATGACGTGATTTTTTGCCATGGGAATGCGGTCCCTTGGGGGCCGAGATGACGTGGGAGAAGATGAGAAGATGATGCATGAGGTGTTCTGCATGAGGTGTTCCGATGGTTTTGTTGAGATTTTCAATTGAGTTAGGTGGCTTATTGGTCAGTTGGGTGGTGAAATGGGTGTCTTTTTGCTGGATTGTCCTAGTGTACGTGATGTGCTTGTTTGCTCTTGAATCGGTCCATCACTGGCAGGTCATCCAAGCTGCTTTCCTGTTTTCAAAGGCAGGGTCTACACTGATGACCTCCCACTTTAGAGGTGTTTATTGTTTGTCTTTGTTCAGAGAAATCTGAGGTTCTACCATACTACCTAAAAAACACATGAGTTGGGAGGGAACCAACATTTATCAAACACGGAATGACACCAACCTGCATTCAGTCTCAGTGAGCTCATGTTTGGCTCGACAAGACAAATGCTGCATGCGTCATCCGAGGCCACAGCCGCCTATTTTGCTCTCAATGGCTCGTTGCTCTACTTGCACCTTGGTACCAGGTAAGATCGGTGGTGTGGAATGGTCGACCGATGGGAAGAAGCCTCAACGGATTTAGAGGAGACTTAGATAGACTTAGTAAGTAGGATCAACAACATCAATGCCATAGTTGACCCAACGGTCTTTCATGACCAAGGCACTCCCATTCAGAGGCCTTTAAAACCACTTTGTTCCTCCATTCATGCCACATCAGACCAAATCCAGCAGATCACCCATCCATACCCACCCTATCTACATCCTTCAGTCCATGGTAACTCCAAAAGAATCGATCAGATGTACTGAACCCAAACAATCACAGCGCAGAAAGGATCAGCAAGGTACCCTCTCTGGAAGTGCAAACCCCACCGGCTGACGTCTTTCGGATGGTCCCCTCCAAGTCGGAACCACCATGCCATCCACGTCACCGAGGCATTCCCATGTCCCATGTCCGTTTGCATGAGGTGTTTTTTTCTCCGCCGGATTCTCTTCTTCACTCACTGGCAACTGGATGGCCACTTTTTCTTTCGTGTATAGAGCCACACATATGGTTTTCCTTGGGGGGGACACATCTTATTCTCCACTTCGGAACGGAACGTGGCTTCCCCTGCCCTGCGCGGTGGCTGAGCGAGTTAGGCAACTGATGGCCTCCGCGGTGCAAGCGAAGCGTGGCCAGTGGATTTGTGACTGGCCGAAGCGTGTGAGCTGGGCGCGGATTGGCCATGGTTTTTTCTTGTAGAGACACGGAGAACTAAAGGTTTTCTTGGGGCGTCATCCATCCATTCCCCAGTTGTGAGGCGAGACATCCAGGTGAGACACCGCCACCTTGGACCTTCGAAGGACCCCTCCTGGCGCCGCCGACGGTGTCGAACAGAAGGCCGCGTTACCTCAGGTTCGGATCCGGTGGATCCGGATATCATTGGACTTGGTATACAACATATTCCGTGAATCTAGAAGCTATACAAAGCTATGACATTTCTCCAAAAGGAGATCCGTTGGGGTACTTTGTTGGGGGAAGGCTCAGGCCTTTCTATGTCCCCCCATAGGTAGCCCCAGAACCTTGTTTCGCCCCGCCAGGCTTTTCGCAACTGGACTGGTCAGAGCCCTGAATTCCCCCAAGCCTCCAAGCTGCTGAACCTCTTCTTTCCACCTGAATGTTCGATTGTATTAATCAGTAAGGTTTCGGTTCGGTTGGAATCGGTTTGAATGTCTAATTGAAACTTCAAATCGGTTCGGTTTGGTTGTAGAAGTCTTTTTTCATGGACTTTCGGTTCGGTTCACGGTTCGTTTCGGTTCTGTGAGGTATAAGTTCGCCGTGGGGTAAAGAAAAGAAAGGCAATGAACAAAGAGACAAGACAAGACTAGACTATAGACTACAGACAAGACAGGACAGGAGGAGAAAAAGTGAAAATGGAAAGCAAAAGGAAAGAAAAGGAATGTAACTATTTTAAGGAAAGTAAGAAAAGGAAGGGAAAGCAAAGAAAGAGAATAGAAAAGGAAAAGCCAGGGGAAGGAATGCGATTTGCGAATATGCTTTTTCCAGGCCTTCCAAAAAGCATATTGGAAAGGAATGCCAAGAAAAGGAAGGAAAGGAAAGCAAAGCAATGGACAGGAAAAGGAAAAGGGCAGGTAAGGTATGCAATTCGTCAATATGCTTTTTCCTGGCAGTCTAAAACGCATATTGGAAAGGAAAAGGAAAAGGACAAGGAAAGGAAAGGACAATGTCGGGGAAAGCAAAGGAAACGAAAAGGAAATGGACATGGACAGGTAGGAATACAATTTGTCAATATGAAAAGGAAAAGGAAAGGAAAGCATTTTATTAATGCGCCTGAAGCCGGGCCGGGCCAGTGACATGCTGTATGGACATTCCAGTGGGGGACTGCTGCTCTCAAACTCAAGACTTTGGACAGTCTGAAAAAACGTCACAGCGGAACAGAGCTGAACGGTTCGTTTTTCTTTTCGGTTCGGTTGCGTTTGGAAAATTGACGGTTGTAATGATTCGGTTGATGAAAAATTTTGGTTCTTGACATTCGCTGACTTTCGGTTTCGAAAGTTCGGTTCCGAATCGATTCGGGACCCTTCCTGATTAATATTTTATACCCTCTTGAACAAAAATAATCAAGAAATGCATGAGCGGACTCTTGGTTGGTCTCTTCATAGTCTTGGTGATGCCAATCCGAGATGGGTGTCCACCCGAGATGGATGGATCCAGCCGTCGTGCGCCCCTCGCCACCTCTCTCAGGTGAGATGTCCCTTTGGACCGATTGGGCCCATCTGGGCGCCCCTTGGGCCGCAGGCATGTCCAGGAGTCCGCAGCTGTAGGTCTGTAGAACATGTGTGTGTTTGATGTGTGTTACTGTAATGGTTTGTTGATGCTTGTTTGTTGTTTTAGCATGGTTTTAACGTTACACCCTTGGGATTGCATGTGTGTGTGTGTGTTTGTTTTTCATATGGGTGGTTAAAATATAGTTGCTGTATAATTACAGTAGATTCAGACTTGCATTAACCGATGATATAACCACCCGGGATTCTCCAATTTTTTAGAGGGTCCTATGGAGGTACATTGGGGGCCAATTAGGGGGGTGGTGCCACGATCCCACGTGACTGGACACTGAGGCCGACGGGGTTGACCCGTCAAAAAAGCGCACCCCGCTTCGCACCCCTTCCGGAAGTTCTGGAAATACACAGGTTGGTACATGGGACCTTTAGAGACGTCACTTGTCCCAATGGTACATTTGCAGATGTCAACTGTCCTGATATGTCGTGATTGCGTTGTTAAAAAATTGTCTTTTACCTTCAGGACTACACTGGTGTGCGAACGTGGGTGAAAGAACACAGAAGAACTGTCGATCTCCCCAATTATTTATTCCAAGATATCACACCAGACCATCCATGCTAAGCAATAGTTACACATGTTTACTCTATATATGACCCATGGTTCCATTGGGTTCCTCTGATAAAGGGCGTGTCTGACAAGCTGCTTTTGGGACTCTTGCCCCTTGGTGAAGTTCTTTCCAGTACGACAGTTGATATGTTTGGAGGCGTCCTTGTCACATTAATTTCTGGGGAAGCGTTTTCCTGAGCTTGCTCAGGGGCCTTTGCGCACTGGCATGACACCAAGCCAGTGTATGCAGTAAGTAAAACAAGTGTACAATATATGTGTATATACAGAGAATATCATTGCTTCATAATATAGTTGAAAGTCCTTGTGAGCATTGCACGCGCCGTGCCTCAGGATCTTCTCACACAAAGCTTTAGCAGCTTCTCAGCACTTCGCTGCCGGGAGAACCTCCATCAATTGAACGTCTTGGATATTTGTGATTGTAAATGTGTGTTTTGTTATAGCCTCTAGACAAGCTCTCAGGAGTCCTGATGTGTCAGGCAAGCTTTCAGGCGGCTTAGAAAGGCAAGCTTTTCACCGTTTTTTGGTCACCAGAGCTGGGTTGCAATCGATGGAGTCGCGGAGGCGCTCTTTGCCTGATGGTCTTGGGCTGTTTCTGGGTGTTTTGTTGTAATGCTTGTTCCTGCTTTTTCCTGGGTCAATCCCCGGTTCCATGACTTCTGGTTGACCCAGGTGTTTAATTGGTTTGCCGGTTCCTGGACAGCAAATGCTCAAAACCGTGCTGATAACGGTTCGCGCCTGGTCGTTTGATGGTTGCTGATCTCACATTCATTGCCAATGGGCCAAGGGGAGGAACAGGTCAAAAAAAGGCAAGTATAGTGCCCGCAATATTCTAAATCACATAAAATATAACATACAATAAAATAACCATTAAAACACAACAAATTATTGTTATTGTTATGAATCACAGATGTCAACGATTTACAGGAAAATGCAGGAAACCTTCTGGGCACATTTAAAGTAGATGCGCAAGACAATGCTTGGTCTCACCCCATGACCAACCCCTGCAGAAGGAACGGTTAAATTTAGCCATAGTCAGCTAAACCAATCACCTTGAAGCTTTTTGGTGATTGGTTTCCCTTAAACAGAGTGGACAGTGTGGTTGACCTGAATTTGTTCCAGTGATTTCCGGCTCCTCTTGGCCGCCAGTTCTTCGAGGCAAAGTCATCGAAATCAGGGTCCAGGAGTTCTGCTGCTCGACGGGACCCGATGAACCCGATGGACTATACTGTCGGCATGGTAAGGCAGGGTAAGGCAAGGATGTTATAGACACTAATAATTGATGCGACTCCGTTGTTTTGATGCGAGATTGGATCCAAAGGAACCAGGAACAACCATTTTTTGTGGGTCTCACAGTACTATCATTGTTCAACGAGTCGTATCCGTCAGTTTGGACCGTTTTGACCGCCAATGACATGTTTTCCTATGGATGAGATCTAGAGTGAACACACGAGCCGCTGTGGAAATCGCATGCGGAATCAGGGAGTCCTCGGTAAAAAACACTTTGGAGTAGGTCATCCTGATTCCCTGCAAAGAGCCAAATGTTGCAAACGAGTTCTCAAAACGAGTCTCATTCATTCAAGCTTGGCAGGTCAATGTTTGGTCATTCTTGCAAGCGAAAGGTTTGGAGCTTGGACCTTAAGGACGATGTTCATCCATGTTCATCCATGTTCCACGATCAGCCCGATGGGAACTTCAGCGGTTCGATCAGGAGGGGACACCGACTCCTTTTTGACAGGTCAAAGATCAATCCCGTTGGTGACCCGGGTCCAAGCAGGTGTATCAGGCCGCACGTCGGGCTCGTCTCATCTTTCCATCGAAGAGTTCAGCACATTCGTACCTTTGTCAGGCCACACACCGCCACACACCTCGTCTCTCGTTTGAGTCTAAGCTACTTACGAAAGGCGATTTTAGGGCATATGAAGCACCATCGATCCAAGCCAGATGGACCCTGTGACCTGTTGGTTAGTAGACCGAAAAGAAGACCCCTCAGGCGCTGAGTGAAGGGCCTCAAAGGGTTCCCGGACCACATGAAGAAGGGGCTGGGTTAGTTATTACTTCGAACGCATAAAATGAATTGTTGAGAGCGTCGATGGTGGGAACTTGAAGGCGCAAGTTGTGGCCATTGATGTGCCACATTTCTGGACATTCTTAGATCAACAAGACCAATATGCCACTCTTTGCCCTCGCCTGTCATATATGATTGGCGCAATCACACGCGCACAAGTGTTGGAAAGTTGTCAACTTTGGATCTTTGCTGAGCTGAGGCGAGATCGTGTCCAAAGCTGGCGCCTGTCAAATTCATGCACATCACTATGCCCTGGAATACGTCGAGGCATTCCGCAACAGTGCTTGGTTGTGTGTGGCCGTTCTACCACAGTCAGACCTTCAGAAAGGGAACGTTCGACTCAAAGACTTCTTAGTCATGGGAGTCTCCGTTCAATCGACTGAGAGCTTACCTTCGGTAAATCCAGAAACTCATGTGTCTCATGCTGGGATTGCTGCACTGTTTCAGACATTGCTCACTGTTCAATTGATTCTTGATCTGAGAATGAAGGTGGTTCTAGCCCAGAATATGTCATGGTCACGAAGGACCTGGCCCCCCTCCCTAGCAAAGTGGATTACAAGTACTTGATGAACTTTGATTCTTCCACATATTCCAACATATTCCAACACGTGATTCTGGTCTTTCGTGTAGTTCAACTTCCCCACTCTCAACAACTTCCCAAAGATGTTCAATCTCACTAAGTCTGGTTGTTTGTTCTGAAGCCTCCTTCGACCGTGCCTGCTTTCGATCTCGATCGCGAGGCATTGAACCTGGCAGATGAAGTTTCGGATTTGTGGAGTCCTCCCCTCCTCAGCCCTTCGGTTGAAGCAGGGCACTGGCCAGCTTGTTTGCTTGGCACTGGCCGGCTGGTGTTTTTTTCGGCGAAAGAAACGCGTTGCGGAGAGTGGAGCGGTGGATTGGGGAGGTTCATGTTTCAACCTGTGCATCTCAGCTCAAAGACTTCATTTGTTTCCCAAATGTAAAGAAAAAGAACCGAATACCCTGTCAAGACGTTGAGTCGGGTGGATTGATTTGCTGAGCATTTGTCCTTCCGCGGCAAGTGAGAGAAAGGGAATGATGGTGCAAGTGGTGCCCACTGGTCACCATCCATTGGGTGGTTGTTGGTCGTGGTAATTACTGTATATGTAATCATCCTTGTTTAAACCTTCAACCAGTTCTAAGTGGATGGGACATATCTATATTTATATACTGGATTTCGGTTGTAAAGGCTAAAACATGTAGTACATGTAGGATCTACCTCGTTCTTACTTCTTTCGGTTTAGTCGTCTTCAGTCTTGCCACTTCTTTCAAAGTTGAAAGCAACCATGACATGCAAAAACACAACCTGGTGGGATTAACACGACCTGGTGGGATTATGTAACACACTTTTATATATTCATCCGGGTTGACATGGCCCACCATGGCCCACAACCTGATTGCGGCTACTCTGCAGACATCTGAGTAGCCGCATCCTCTTGCAGTTCAACGGGGCTCTTTTGATACAGAAGGATCCTGGAAAAGACAGCAACATAAATATCCCCCGTTCAGGCAGTTGCAGTTTTCCTTCGAAGATGCTCCACCACAAGTGTGTTGAGAGTATCAGAGAGTACCATCGGGCCAAGAAAAGGAGGCCATCGCTAGTAGCTTGGAGGCCATCTCTACTAGTTGGAGGCCATCGCTAGGGGCGGTTGGAGGCCACAAAAAGAGATCCCCAATGGTTGGAGGCCATCACTCTTACCCCAACAAAACACCCCAAAACGACCCCGATCCGGATGCTGCTCGTGTTACGATCCCGATCGCTTGAGGTGAAGAGCTGGACATGGAGAACCCTTTCGGTCTAGGAGAACGGGCAGACGTCGACGGTGCGTGGGTCGAGCTTTGCTGAGGTCGACCCATGTGCTTTGCTGAGGGACATGTCATAGGAAGCTTCTTGAAACATGTGCCTTGCCGAGGTGCTTTTGTGGGCAATTGGATTGAAAAGACCTCAGAAAGGGACATGTCATATTGAGATAGTACAGTACTATCACAGTGGTACGTTCACAGTTGTGAAAACACTACGATACAGATCAGATATGGGAGTACCCTTTGCCCTTTGTAGCGCAACATGTGGCTTCGTGCTAGTCACGGTCGAGATTGAACTCAGAAATGTATCAAAGCTGTTGGAAGCCATGGTTTTGGAAGCCAGGCCAGAGTTTGCTTGTCCAATTACAGTAATGAGCAACTAGCCAGGTACTCAGGTGAATGTATTTACAGTGGCCAGGTGCATCAGCTGAAGTTGTTTGTGATCTGAAACCCTGTTCACTTTTTGGGGTAGTCGGTAGTGTTGCTAGGCAGCATGGAAGATGTGCCATCGCTTTTGCCCAAGCAGTTTGAAACGGGTAGCAAGCGCAGTATTATTGGCTTGGAAACCAATGACCCCAAGACCTTTCTTTATGAATGCACCATAATGCACCTCCCGACAACCTATCGTTGGGCCGTTTTTTGTTTGCAACTAAGGTCCTAAGTGGCATACGGCAATCAGATTTATCAGTAAAGTGTGGCGATGCGTGTGTTGTTCCCCTGGAAAGCAACGAAGTTCAGTCCCCAAGCAAAAGGGCAGAATCGGAGTATGCCTGACTTGCCACCCTGCATGACCCAGCGACGCGGTCGTATCCCTCAGATGTTCAGAGGAGATTTGCCAAGGAAACATCCAGAGACACTATAGATTGCTATAGATACCTTCCAGAATTAGATTGCCCGGGGTTCTTCCCAGATCGCTGGCACTTTGACCCATGATGGATCCATTCTTAAACCAGGGGTTCTTAACCCACGAGCCAGCAGCCAGGAAGCAATGGAACCAAACTGCAGCAGGTTGTCCCGGTGTGAGGATGATGGAGCGACCGTGGTGTGCTGCACACGTTCCTGTGAAACACACCGACCACAGAGGAACACCGCATCGAACTCCGTAAACTGTAGGGGCAAAGCCTGGCGCGCTGTGTAAGAACCACCCCTTTGGAACTCCTGGTGTTTAATTACACACATTCCCTAGAGATTGGACCCGCCAAACCTGCATAGCAGTGTCTCCATCACCTTCTGAGAATGCACTTAGATCCCTAAACAAGTTGAAGAGATCGCGTGGAACGTGCGTGGAACGTAGATCGTTACCCCCCCACGATGTCCCACGATCGTTGATGTACAACTAGGGGTGATCCATTTCTCCATTCCAGCTTGCATGTTTTTACATATAATAGACTATATATGATAAACTGATTGAATTACGTATAAACCAACTAAGAGGTTTTGGCAGTTGCTTAATGGCCTGCAGTTTGACTGGCTGACATATCCTTACATTGTCCCCCACGCGTGAGGGGACAATTTGTTCATCTTTGTGCAATTTGTTTATGTTCGATTCGAAGTCCTTCGCCTGGTGCTTGGAATAAGAAATGGATCATGTCTTCCCCTTGAACCCGTTCCCGGCTTGTGCCGAACGATCTCGCATGGCCATGCCATTCTTTGGACTAGGAGTTGGCGAGGACGAAACGTCACTGGAGATGTTACGCCTCAGATCGGATGCCCCATTTGGGCTCTGAGGGGGTACTCAATGATTTTCTCAAGTCCCTGCAACTCGAACTACCTCAGACTCAACCCATGGAGCTGGCACATATGCAGAACTTGGGGTGGTTCCAGATAAATAATGTATATGTTTATAGTTTTTGTTATATGTATATGCCATACATAGAATGTTTGGAACCATAAAGAGGCTTTGGGTGTCAAAGGCTCAAGAACATGTTTTTTTTGGAATATTTGTAGTGATGAAGAGTGACCGAGTAACAATAAAGACACGTTCACGTCGTGACAATACACATCGGCTTAAATGGAGCGTTGAAGGCTGTAATAGTCGGCGGCAAACCGGTAATAGGAGTGACCAGTCGGTCCACTGTTTTGGAGAAAGGCCAGGCCTATTATACGAACTAGCGCCATCCACGAAGGGTCCTGGTTTACTGGGATATACCGATGCTTGATGTTAAAGCAGCAAAAACCACCGAGTCATGTCTTTATGCCATATATATAAATCGCAGTGTTTGGGTATGGATGTTTTTTTTGATGAAGGTCACACATTCAAACACACATAAACCTGACCTTTGCTACCAGCAGCGTGTTCAATCGTCGTCCAAATCGGAGTCGGATGTCTTATGAGGGTGAGGTAAGGTCACCACCTACTACTGGTAGAGACGACTGCAGTTTTCTCAGTGAGGTGACTGCGCGAACGCGAAGGTTCAAAATTTTAGGAACTATGCATTTAGCTATGACACAACAGTGCCAGCTGGTGCAGATTGTCTCTCTTCCATCAACAGCAGTACAAGTGAGTGCTGTATATCAATATGCATTTTTGTTGATGCTTTCGGTGCTAACATTGGCGAAGTACGTTGGACAATTAGGCCAAGCTTACCTTCTTGTAGCCAGGAACACTACGCAGGGGTGTTTGCGCGGGGAAAACAAAGATCAAGTTTTGGAGAACAGTAGGTTTTAAGAATGTGTTGGATGTGTTCTTTATATTGGGGACCTCTACTTATAGATTCGCGTGGCGATTCTTCGCTGACATTTTGTGTGGAAGTGGCACTGATCCGCTTCCGTTTTGGCCTTCCTGTTTGCATTGTACAGCGGACCTGCAGTGGGTTCCTCCCCGGCCTCTTGAGGAACTGACTTTGATATTCAAGTTCGAGAAGGTATGTAGTGCCGGCTGCCAGCACCCCGGTTTCAGGATTGTTTGTAGACATCCCTGACTATGTCTGACTATGTATGATACTTTTGACTCAGACCACCCAAAAACTCGGTGGTCTGAGTCATTTTGCCTAAAGACTCGGTCACCCGCATCGTGGCTTTCCCGTTGCTTTCGTTGCTCTCGTTGCGAGAACGAACGCACGAGCTTCCCTCCGCTTCGAGTCCTAGAATCTCCCATCATCCCAACTCAAGCCAATTTGGTGAGTCCAAAACCTCGCCCACCAAACCGTGGCAGGTTGATATCCAAAAAAATAAGCGGAATCTGGTCAATTTTGGCTGATCATCCAGGGTGCTGCTTTGACCCTAGCTGCGACTATGCATCGTTCACGAACATGCCCAACGCGGGGTCCGGGATCTTCTAAGTCGGGTATCTTAAGGAACACCGTCTAGACCACGTGGCGAACATGTCTATTTGCCACATCTTGGTGTTCCGAAACTTTTTTCACCAGACACAAACTCCAAGCAGTTCCAGGGTGCCGAACTTGGAGGATAGGGGGTGCTTGATCTACTGCGATGACACCTATATATATATCAAGTCTTAAAATATAAAGTCAAGCTCCATATTATCGTCTACAATAGTCTATGAGTTTTTCATGATAGAGGTACATGAGACTCTTCCATTTCAACTCATGTCATCTATATAGATATATGTATATATATATATATATCCAACCAACTCGAGGCGCCACCGGGGCCACCCAGTGACCGATCTGGACAGGGGGCCACCGCACCGAAACTGGCGCCCGGCAGTGGGGTGTTCTTCCACAACGAAGTGGGCCCCGTTCGCTCGCACCGCGCCGTAGAGAAAGAGGTGGCACCACGTCTGGCGTGTGTGGCGCACTGCAGGTGGTGTAGTAGTAGCTGCGGGTGTGCTGCCGGGAGGTGTATAGACATGTGCCATACTACCTTTCATTGAAGAAACACTCGCAGACCCTCGAAGGATGTAGCAAGGAGTGTGTCTCAGGTTTTCTATGTTGTTGTTCCTCTCCTTATGACAACACAAGCCTTGACCGTGTTTGGGACATATTCCAACCGCTGTTAGCCATTGTTATACTGAGGACCGTTCGATCCAACCAGTCAACTCTGACGGTCTTGGAAGGCCTGGACCACTGGGGTCCATACAGTCCTGAGTCCTTACTACTGACACATCATGGAAACGATCTTCGCGACTGCAATTGCCTCACTTCGCAGGCCCGGTCTTCGCTACGGAGGTCCTTCCGGAGACACCGACCGTGCTGCCATTTCGGACATCGACTTCCTGGACCTTCCATGGGCCTGCCTATTTGCCGATCAGTGGGGGTGCTTGATCTGGGGTCAATGGTGGCATACATTCAATGCACGGATGGTTTGCATGTACTGACCTAGTATGACGAAGTGCTTTCGGTGGACTTGGAATGGTCGCTGGTCTAAATATATATATATGGTTACGTGATGGTTTCGGCCGCGCGCGCTTTAACAATTTTCCCAGACAGCCAGACAGCAGCTCATAGTTTCTACAAAGACAAAGGACGTTTCAGTTGTGCAAGTTCATCCTTCAGACGTTGATTTTCATGGCGCAGGCGATCATTCTCTTCCTCGATTTCCTGATGGCATCCCACTGCATCTAGCAACTCTTGGAAAAGCACTCTTTCGTCTTGCGTCAACAGTGCCCGGGGTGTAGAAGTTGACATTGGCGTGGCCTCCTGTTCCACAGACTTTTGTTTCTCTGCTTCCGGGTTCTCTGATGTAGAAGACGATGATGAATCCGAAGAACTAGAATCAGAACCACTACCTCCATCTCCATCTCCATGTTGGTCATCATTGGGCATTTCTGCTGCAGGAAGAACAGGTGCAGGAAGAGCAAGCATTGGAACACTGCCTTGGGAAGCTGATGCCGAGCGAGCACGGCCATCTTTCTTGGTTTGTAACCAAGAAAGCAGCGCCGTCTGGCAGTTACTCGACCAAGCAGTACCTTGTGCCAGGGTTCCCTGGTTCACTGCATTGCGTCTGATGGTGCTGATTTGGACTTGAATTTGCTTTTTAGTGACTGCCGCCCTGTCACTATGCACAGCGATTGTTCCATTGCCAATGTTTTCCATGATGTCAGCAGCATCAGGACAAGAAGTAGGTTCTGAAGAGGTGCTTTGAGACACATTGCCCATGAGCTCCAAAGTGATGTGCTGTCGTTCGTTCATGTAGGCTTCCACAGAGAGCTGCATGCGCGGAGACTTCGGCATGATCTACTAGTACTAAACAGTCTGACTACGAAGCAATGACTGTGCTCAGGGAAAATGCCTGCAAAATACATGCACACAAGTTGCACATGCAACAAGCAAATGAACAGCAAGCAAACATAAACATGCCAGACGCAAAGGAATAGGTTTTCTTTTTTTCCGAAGCTTTTGTGAGCATTAGCCTAGATCTGGTGCAGACGCTGCATGGCTTCCATTGTGGTAGTCAAGGGCACTACATAGACATCTCTATTAGCTTGGGCGTGCATTTTTCGCCACCGATATTCATTTAAAAGGCATTTCCACCTTTGGCTGCTGCTATGTGAAGGCACTTTGCCGACTTCACGCTTGCGAACCCATCTTTTTACAAGTGACCAACGGTTTTCAATGTGATTCGTAGTGAATCCATTGGCATTGGTGATTTCTCCTGCGCTATGGGTCACAATTTCATGCCACAAATCTGCATTAGTCCATCCCTTTTCTTTTTTTAGATCCTTGATAGCCGCTACCGTCGCCTTCCATCCATCGGTCACGATGATGGTCTTGGGTTGCAGGTTGAGAAGGCGAAGGCAATCAAGAATCTCAGCCTGACCTCGAGGCTTGCCATCCAGAGCATCTTGTGGGTGGTCCAAGACACGAAATAAGAAATGTTCTGGCCTGCTAGGAACAGCTTAGCACCCCACACCCAGACCTGATCAGTTTCTGCGCGGCAACTTTTACTCAGACTACCGCTTCGCAACTTGTTCAAATGAGACTCATCAACTTCAACAACATATTTGTACTTCTTGTAGAAAGAGGTAGCATTTGGAGTCTTCTTTTGTGAGTGTGGCTCAAACTTGTTGTTTCCAGCAGGTCGTTTCCAGGCACCATAGGTCTTGGATCTGGCTGAAGGTTTCTTGGTGGCAAATGGCTTCTTCATGACAGTATTGGAGCCGGCTGAAGGTCTTTTGATGGCACAAGTCTTCTTGATGACAGTCTTCTTAACTTTCCGAACTTGGTTCGCTGACTTCAGGGGTGTCGAAGTGACACTGA